ATCTGGCTCTAACTAACCTTTTTCATTTCATCCCCAAGCACTGCCTACAAGGTATCCTACCTCCCATCTTTCGTGGCTGTTTATGACCATGCAATTTTCTATACTAAAGTGCTTTCTCCTCTCTTACCCCACTCTCTGCCTAGCAGACTTTTCTTACTTTTTCACATATAGTTCAAATACTTCTTCAGGGAAATCTTTTTCCTGGACTCAGTTTCTCTGTCTATTGTGCCCACATAGAACCTTGCAACTTCTTCTATTCAAGCATAGGGCTTTGGTGCTATAAATACCTTAAAAAAGTATCTGAATTCCTCCTTTAATAGCCCCTTCCTCAAAGGAAGGAACTGAGTTTTAATCTTCATATATATGCTAGTATCAAATATTTCTTAAAGCACAAATGTACTTTTTTAATAATTAATGAAAATGAGACAGAAGAGTACTATATGATCTTTAATTGATCACTCTTGATTAAGCATTATGTTTTTATTGGGCTAATAAAAGATGTCAATTTACTTAAATTTAGTATTTACTGAGTACCTTCTAATATATACAAAGAACTGTGGTTGGCATCAAGGCTACAAAAATTTCACGTCTCGGAGGCAGGGGCAAGGAGCATGGCAGGCAGTGGGAGGGAGAAGGGCCAGATGACAGGACTCACTACAATAAATGCTATAATAGCATCATAAAGTCTTAAAGGAGCAGAAAGGGGAAGGGATTAATTCTGCTTCCACACTGAGAATATCAATGGAAAAAAGACTTCCCACATACAAAAATGGATACAAAGCATTTTGTAAGCTAATTTATGGAATAAATAAAGTTGCTTTACTTAAATGTAATTTCCTCTTGTCTTATTCTTTAAAAAATTATTTTTGAATAGATAATACATTCACAACATTCAAAAAGTACAGGAAAGTATCCATTAATCAATTACTCCTACAAATAATTATTTAGTAACTACCATGCACTGAAGAATAAAAACAGAGGGCAAGGGGATAAAGAATGAGGGGAAACAGGAGACTATTTTTAATTGAATAAGGGAATCATAAAATGATAGTAGAATGAAGGCCAAAAGGAAGTAATGCACTGATTGGTTATCTAAGGGAAGAGCTTTCCAGGTAGAAGGAACAGCATGTAAAAAGAGCAGCCTGATGTGTTCAAAGAATAGAATGGAGGCCAGTACTGCTGGAGAATAAATGAAAGAAATGGTAGGAGATGAGGTTAGAGAGCCAGATCACCTAGGTCCTGCAGCTTTGGTAAAGACTTTTGATTTTATTCTAAGTGTGATGGGGCTGTAAACAAAGAATTTGACTGGCCTCTGTCCCTGGTTCTTTAGAGAAAGCTTTAAAGCCCTTGGAATTTCTTAGAGGGATGGGAGTATCCATCATTCACTGTGGGCCTTAAGAAGATGCTAAGGATGTAGTCAAGCTAGAAAGAACAAGTGATTAGAGGGTTGAGGCTTGAAGTGATATGAGCAGGACCTACTGGGATAGTGGAGGGCTAGAGTTCAGTCATGTGGTCAGTAAGTCAATCAATCATGCCTCAGTAGTGAAAACCCAATAAAAACTGTGAACAGTAGGCCTCAGGGGAGCCTCCTGGGAGGGCTACTTGGCCTGATTCCACAGGAAGAGAACATGGAAGCTCGGTATTCAGGATCCTCCCTCTTTTCATTGGATGGTCCTGATTTGCATCTTTTATAATAAAATTATCATCGTTAAGTATAATGTTTTCTTGAGTTTTATGAGTTATTCTAGTGAGTTAATGAACCTGAGATGGTTATGGGAACTCTCTTGAATTTGTAAGCATTTGGTCAGAAATGTGCATAGCTTGGGGATCTCCCAAACTTGTGAGTGGTGTCTGAAGTGAGGATAGTTTGGTTAAGGACCACACCCTTAGCTTGTGATGTCTGTACTGACTGGATGGTTTGCATTAGAATTGAATTGCAGTACTGCAGGAGAGACGTGACATAATTTCTGTACTTTATGTAGAAAACAGACTGAAGAGGCACAAGAACACACAGGGAAACTGGTAAGGAGGCTACTGCAGTAAGTGATGGTGGCTTAGACTAATGTGGTTATGATGGAGATACTGAGAAATCATTTTATTTACTAAGACTGTAGACCTTACTATATATTTGCTGGAGAGCTGGAGTTAGGAGTTTTTAATGGCTGCATTCTACAGCCGGGGTATGTCATGCTTGATTTATCTGATCTCCTGTGGACAGACACTTAGGTTGTTTCTCATTTTTCCTCCCATTACAAACAATGCTGCAATGAAGATGCTTCTATCTAACTAGTGCACTCTTGTGCAAGAAATCTTTAGCTACACTATTCACTGACAATAAACTTTGAACAAAACATAGGATTGAGATGTCCTAATTTTGTGAACAGACCTATTTTTGCTTCTATGTTCCAAACATTTTTTCATTTCTTACAAAAGTTTCTTCTTCGCTGACCACAGAAAACTAGAAAGTTAAAACTGAAAGGATCCTTAGAGTTCCTCTAGTTCAGTGGTTCTCAATGTGGATGTTATGGTAGATAATCAATTTCTAAGGAAATCTTTTTGAAACACAGCTCCTCTCCCTTGCTGATATGCTCTGGGAAAGTGAGAGGGCTGGTACATACTGTCTAGGTGACTCTGACCAAGATTCAGCCACCTTGAATGGTTTATCCAGTCCAATCCTTTTGTTTGCCAGATGAGGAAACTGAACACATATTCAATAATGACAGAAGGAGAATTAGGGCTCTAATCAATTTTCAAAGCTGCCAGCAATGTCTGAGCATATCAATTTCGCCCAACCTTTGACAGCAGAAAGTACGACCATCTTATTTTTTATTTTTGCTAATTTATTAGGCCAAAAAAAGTATCTTATCATTGTTTATAGGATGATTTATTAAAGAGATTCATCTAAGCTATCTTAGAAGATGACAACTGGGATTTCTACATTTATTTGTCAGAAACAAAAAAGTCAATTACATGAAAACACGCTGGTTGGTTAACAAACTCTAAACTCTCTGACTAATTTCACTCAGTCCTGATCTTCCTTTACTTTGCTCTCAATTCTACAGAAGACATACTTAAGAACAGGATTTTCCTCACTGCTCTCGCTTATACCGTAACCTACAGCAAGAAGTCTTTAAAGGAAAACTAATGCAATTTATTTTTGTTTTCCTGTCCCCTTTCAACTTAAGAAAATTTTCTATTCCCCGTTATAATTAACATGACTTAGTTTCTGAAAAGGGCACCATTAGAGCCACTTAGGTTTAAAGAGAACACAAAAAGTTGGTACAATGGTTTTACCAGGCTGTACTAAAGATTTCTCACATATTATCTTGTTTAATCCTCATACCGTTGAATGAGGAAAAGACTTCAATGAGGCATAGAAAGGTTCGGAAATTTACTTAAGTTAACAAAGCTAGTAAGTGGCTGAGCCAGGATTTGAACCCAGGCAATCTGACTCTAGAACTAGCGCTCTACATTACTAACTACAATTTGGCCCTAACCTACCTTTCCTGTTTCTTCTCTTGCTAAATCTATTCATGACTTCCAAGGAACATCGTCCATTATCTATCTTTAATCTAGCCACTTACGTGACCATACTCATAATCTTTTAAACTCTCTCCCTGTAGCTGCCAAATTATATTTCATTATATATTTACATGTGTCTGTCCTCAACCAACCTACAAATTCCTTGAAGAGAGGAACTGTCTTTTCTGTCTTGAATTTCTAACACTCAAGCACAGCATCTGACACAGCAGACTCAACAGGTATTTGCTGAATAAATACATGAATGTACACATTCTATGCTCCTATCTCACAGAAGAATGTACTCTGCCTTTGCTCAGGCTGCTTTCTCTACTCAAAACAGCCTTCCTGCTTTCCTGATTGGCAAAATTCTAATCATTTTTGAAGATTCAGTTCAAATGGACAGAGAAAAAAAGAGGATAACGGACCTAGTTAAAAAATCATTTTTTCTTCTTTGATATCTTCTTTTTTTTTTTTTCATTTTTTTTACATCTTCCATCCAGCCTGTGGGTGACTCAGAAGGGACCTGAGAACTGACTTAATGGTGAACTATTAAATCACTTATTTTATTTTGGGGTTGGGTGGTAATTGAGTTTGTTTATTTTTAGAGGAGGTACTGGGGATTGAACCCAGGACCTCCTGCATGCTAAGCATGTGCCCTACTACTTGAGCTATTCCCTCCCACCTTCTTTGATATCTTCTTACTGCCTGGAAGAATTATTTCTTCCTCTGGCCCCCACAGCATCTTCCTAAATACCTACTGTAATACTTTCTGAGCTCTATTTTAACTATTCCTGCTCATACTGACTTCTTGCCAGAGACTATGCACCCCTGAGTGCAGGAACAGTGTCCTGTTTATCTTTGTATCTCTAACGCTTAGCATCATGCCTAGCACACAGCTAATCCTCAAAAAAATATTTGCAGAATGAATGCGTGTTGAAACAATTTTAAGGTACAAAGATTAGTTTTCATGAAGAACAACTGACCTACCATAAAACAGCTAGTAACACTGACTGCATCTAGGAGAGCAGAAGTAAAGAGCTTTCAGTGTTACTATCTCCAGGATACTGTAAGTCTTCAAAGGAACTCCCTTTAAGTAAAAAAAAAAAAAGGGGCTGGAACACTGGAATTTGACACAACATTGTAAAATGATTATAAATCAATAAAAAGAAAATTGTAAATTAAAAAAAAAAGGGCTGAAGCTGAATAAAAATGGATCATCTCATGATTAATAAGGATGACCTTGATATCTAAGTTATGATAAGCAAATCTTTAAAACGGATCTCAATTTAATACAACTGTCAAAGCATCTGCTGTCCAAATGTTCCTGGGGGAAGGAATACAATTGTGCTGTATTTGAGTGGAAACTGGGAAAAATAAAGGTCAGGCGCTTTCACCGAACTGTTACACAGTAGTTCCTATAAAGATCTGTGATGACCTGACCTGAATCCTAACACTTTTTTATGATTGATAAGACTTACCTTAGAAACTCTTTGCTCTGTTCCCACAAATCCTGGGTCTCTTCTGTAACCAAGTGTTTGTCCAGGTTACATACATTAGGTTTCCGGGAATATAACTTAAGGCACTGCTTCACCCAGTGCCACTGGTAACCTGGGAGGAAGGGGTTTGGGATAAAAATAAACCCTATACAAAAGATGGATGAGAAAAAAAGGAGAGGAGGAATCCTCCATCAGTTATTCAGATCATTTATTTTTGTTGACATACTTATACCCTTACTTTATTATTTACTTCTCATGCTTCCAGTGGCTTCCACATATAAGCATATGTTCTCATTCCAGTGCTCCAATTTCAGAGGAAGAGGAGTTCCTTCAAGTTAATAAAACATTGTTCTGATGATGAACATCAGACATCTAACACTATGAAATTACCTCTGGCTTTTTAGGTTATTCTCAAGAGAACAAATATTCTACAACTATCAATTATATTGCTCCAGAGCAAACTTTAGAACTGAAATTGCCAAGGCACCCCTCAAATTTTCACCAGGTATTATTTATAGAGGTTGTAGCTGCTTTTGTGATAACTCAGCCTTTAGTGAGTTGTAATCTTTTTGCTGCTGGAGGATTTAAAATACTTTGAGAATTACCAAAAATGTGATGCAAAGACATGAAATGAGCAAATGCTGTTGGAAAAATGGCACCAAAAGGCTTGCTTAATGCAGGGCTGCCACAAACCTTCAGTTTGTTAAAAAACAAAACAAAACAAAACAAAAAAAACACACAGTATCTGCAAAGCACAATAAAATGCGTAAAATGCCTTTACTCCAATTTGGACAACAGAAAACCAAACTGGGTGATAAATCTGTAGTCTGAACAATCTGTTAAGGGAAGAAGGCACAGCAATAGAAACATGGCCTTGAAAACAGGAGCTAGGTCAGAAAAGTAAAGGGCAGCCTTCGAGAACAAAAAGTGCATAAAACACCACTGGGATGTATGCTCCTCATTTACCCAAACACATGAAGAGCTATGCTTTCACATATAAATGTCACCACTCAACTGTTTCTCTTGACTTCAGACATAAAACCTGAAGTCTGTCTATAATACAGAACTAAAGTGCACGAGGCCTTTCATAAGTGTTAAAGCTGTTACCCCTTCCCATGTTATCAATATATACTTTAATGGTCATAAGGTACTAAGAGCTGCAACACAGACCTGGCCCTTGGCACAACAAAAATTGAGTTTTTAAAAGGAGTCTCTCTTGCTTTTGATCCATATTTTAAATCACAAGTGCAATGTTAACTTTAAACCCTCTAGAAAGAAACAGGATGTAGATATAAGATTGTTTGGCCAAATGAGGCATTCCTGTATTTTCTAAATAGTTCATAATAATCTACAATGGCCCCATGATCCTAGAAAAAAGGTTAATAACATTACCCACTCTTCTGTGAAGTGAGCTACCCAGTATCACCAAAATTCAAAATTCTAGACAATTAAGTCTATTAGGACTTTTAATCTCATTAACTGTAATTCCTTTTAAAAAAATTCAGCCTTGATGACAGCAACAATTTCTAAGTTGTTATGCCATTTGAGAATCCAGGGATTCTGTGACTGGAGTGAACATTATGAATTACCACGTCAGTTCAAAGTGGTTCTCCTGGAGGAGATGTTCAGATGTACCTCGTTTGTCACTTTCTGCACTATAAGGCAGACAGTACTGACTCCAGTTCTATCCTTTAGGAATGCTAAATAAATGGAAATCTTAGATGAGGCAGAATTCAGGAGGGGTTTGGGAGTGGAACATTTCCATGTGTTCAGTTTTCTCCTTTGTCTATTTACTTGCTTATAGCTTCTTCTCTGAAATTAGACAAATGATTGAGAGATTTTGCCTTCTGTGGTCAACTGCACTCACCAGGATATCCTTGGAGTCCGTAGGCTCGCCACTTGCTGACTGGCTGAAGTCCTGCTCTGTATGCATCGTGGTCACTGACTGAGGACACATTTAGCTGAGATCTGACCACCTGGCAGGACAGAAACGGGTTAGAGGGTAAAACTATTTTACAGGTTAACTCAGAATTTCAAACGTCTAAGGGCATTTCTGATATGGGGCAGTTAGGAGTCATAAGCCTGGGTTCTTCAATTTAGTTCTACCACTTAATTGATGTAAGAGTTAGATAAGTCATTTAACTTTTGAGAACCTCAGTTTCCTCACCTATGTACTGCTAAACACTACAGAGATATATAAAATTGAAGTAGTGATGAAAAGCAGGCTGATTTTGGTCTTTAAGACTACATTTTCCTATGATACCACAACTTTGCTATTTCTTTGAATCATGAAACGTGTTTAGTATATGGAATACCCTGAGTCACAATGCTATTAACTTTGGTTAGTGCTAATAATAATGTTTCTGGGGAACTTATATACAGTCAGTGTTTAAATAGAGCTATGAGGGACACCAGGCTGGGAGGGTGAGTGCTTTAAACAGACAGAAAAAAATGTTTCAGTAAAACACTGGGAATCCTGTTTGCTGAAAGTACATTTGCTCTCTTTTAGATGAAACTTCAAACTGAAACTCCCAACTCTTTGCCTTTGTTAATTACTTAGAAATTAAGCTTTTAAGGGGTTTATGAAGTTTTCTTTCACTTAAGAGCCATCTCTGGCTCATTAAATTGGTTAAGAGATCCAGTATGTAGTCACAATATGTAAGGACATTTAGAAAAAAAAAAACTTTATTCTTACATGAATAATAAACTTAGAGCCTGGCTTGACTTAGAATACATCAAATGTTCTCTCCCAAAGAGATATGATCTATTATTCTATTAACTTTGTCAAGAGTGGAGATTTCCAGACAAACTACCAAGTGGCTGGTGTATATGCAGGCTCTGTAATAAAACGGCTGTCTGGAACTCTCTGAGAGTCCTGACCATCTAACTCTTCCAGGTACCTAGAGGATAAAACGTTTTTATTTCAAAAACTTCGTAATGATTTCTTAAATATGTCATACTTAACCCTGCACTATAATCCAGTAAAATCCTCAAATGTGAAAGAAGTTTGCGGACCTAATCTATTATTCTAAACTGAACCAAACCTCTCAATCTTTTAATGTTTTCTGCTTGCTCCCTTGCTAGACTATTAGCCATCACTTTCCCCACTTCTCTCATTGGATGTCTTGTTAATAGCAACTTTCTTCTTCTCTAATTTGCTACTTTCAATTTGTTTTGAGCTGGGGAACTAAATACTAATCAAGTATTATATACTCAACAGATAGTATATTTACTGAGTACTTACTGTTTTAGGTACTGTGCTAAACACAATATCCCCTTCTCAGGTGGCTTACATTCTAAAATTATCTAAGTATTATGGTAAAATATGGGCAAAAGGAGTTGAATGAAGGTTTGAGGGGTTCTCCCGTAAGTCAAGTATATCGTTCTTGGACTTTCTGTATGTTATTTTGACAACTCTAAGACAATCCCTCCTAACAAATGAAGTTTCTAAGAAGCTGAGTTTTAGACAAATATGAGGTTATTATAGCATTCCAATTTTACTGACAGTTATTACTAAGCTTGGAAAGAATGTCTCATCCAGACATCTGTGGACAACACCAAGGGCAAATTAGAGATCTGGTATCCTCGGTGTTAAAGCAATTGTAAAGAAAACATACATTACAGTTGTGACTCTCCTTGTGTCTCCTGCTCCTCCCCCTATGTTCCTTTCCTTAATTTCCAAGAAGAATAATACAGAAATAATGTTCGGTGTTTGGATTAATTTGCCCTTTATTTTCAACATTAAGGGATTATCTCAGAATCTTTCAATGCCCTCTTTCTAAACGGCCCAGAGAATTCAAGGCCTTTTATGGGCAATGGCTTAACTAACAACATCAATCTCTCAGATCTGTGATTACTCAGGTTGTTGGTTTCTTCAAACTGCAGGGCACTACCCTAGCGTCTACGAACGCAGTTTACGGATTTTCACACAAATCAAAGTAGAAACGCAAATGTACAGTTAACAGAAAGAATATAAACACCAATTTCCAGGCATTTTTTGGCCGAAGCCGCGGACAAGAATAGCTGCGTGAAGAAACGGGCAGCAGAACTCTTCCTCGCCAAACTGTGACGCTTCATGGGCAGTTCAACTCCGCGCCCGCGGAAGGCGGGGATCGCTCAATAAAAGTCTGGAAACGAAAAGAGGTGAGGAGAACATTGAAACCTCTCCAAGAAGCGAGGGGAGGTGACGGGGAGGCGCGCGCCGCTCCTCTCTCCGTACCTTGTGGGCACCAGGACCCGTGCTGCGGGCTGCATGGGCCGCCGAGAAATCGATGACCCCTCCCAGGTCTGCGGTCCCGGGGCGGCTCTGCCGGTAGAAGCGGAAAAGCTTCCGAAAGGCGTCCTCCCCAGGTTCCGTCGCCAGTGTCGCCACAGAGCCCATGGCTGCCGCCATCTTCCCCATCTCGCTTGCCCGGCCTCCTCTGGCCCGGAAGCTGGTTTCCGTGCTCCGGATCAGGCAAGCGCTTCCGGAGTCGCAACCTCAGGTCGCGGAGTTCCCTAAATCTAAAGATGGCGGCTTCGGGTGTGAGGGGTGCTATGGCTTTGCGTACGAATATTGGCCGGCCCGTTGCATTTGTCAGAAAAATTCCGTGGACCGCGGGCTCGAGTGAGTTGGAGATGTAGTAGGGGAGGAATTTTGGGGCCCAAGCAATCCTGAAAAGCTTTGCTTTCTGCGGAGCGCTTAAATCAACGTGGTAGCTGGATTAGGAGGCTGAGTTTGCTCCTGAGCAAGCCTGTGGGTAGAAGGAAATTTTGTTTGCAGTTAGCCGTTAAGGGATGCTCCTTGAGCTTTTGGGCCACGTAATCACGGTGTCCAGCCTTTCGGGGTTTAAAAGTTAAAGTTTACTTGGAAACTTTAAGATACACAATTTAGAAGGGGTTATTTTCACTGCAGTGTGGCGGATGGATTCGAAGTGGGAAGACTGGAGACAGAAGACGAATGAAAAAGGCTGACAGTAATTTAGTTCAAAGGCGAGGAACTGAATTTAAGGGTAGTGGTGGTGGTAGTGTTGGGGCGGGTAGGAGCGGTCAGATCCACTTATGTTAACCAAACAAGATTGACAGATTTTCATGATGGCTTGAATGGGGGAAAAGTACGAAAGGAGGGAAAGGGAGGAATGACTTACAGGTTTTTAGCATTGGTGAATTTCGTGATCAGAATATAGAAGCAGGTCGAAAGAAGATGAGGAGGGGGAGGGTATAGCTCAGTGGTAGAGTGCATGCTTAGCATACACAGGGTCCTGGGTTCAATGCCCAGGACCTCCTCTAAAAATAAACATAATTACCTCCCCCACCGAAAAAAAAAAAGATGAGGAGTAAAGTTTAAATGTGTTTAGTTTGAGAAATCTATGTGGTTTCCGTCTGTTAGTTGGACAGAGGACGTTGTGTATGGATTTAGAAATGCACTCCCACAGCCATATAGCCATACTCTTTGGGTTAGAATGACAGCTCCGCCATTTAGTAGTTGTGTAACCTGATTAACGGAAGGTAATTGGAGAATAGGGCTCACCACTGTGCCTCAGTTTCATCATTCATAAAATGGAATCAATAGTACCTTCCTCTTAAGATTGTGATTAGATTAAATGAGTTTATATGTAAACTGTTTAGTCTTAGGGTCAGTACAGAGTAAGTACTCAATAAGTGATAGTTGTTTTGATGATTACTAAAATGAAGCTCACTGGAGAGGCCTAGCCTGGCGATAAAGGAATGGGAGTAATTAGTACTGAAAACTTGCACCAACATTGATTTTTGTCAGCTACAGTTTTGAGTTGAGGTTTTTACATTTGCTTACCAAAATTTAAAAATCCGTGGTCACTGTTGCAGCCATTCATGTCTCAGATCAGGTGCTTTAAAAAAAGGAATGGGACAGGTGTGGGTAGTGGAATGGGAAATAGATTTGTTTGTGCCCCGTCTTCTTCTTACGTGGTAGGTGAAGACCACACCTAGTAAAATTGCTTAGGTCCTGAGAACCTCTGTGGAAAGGCTGAGGGGTTTCCTTAGCATCTTGCAGATGCAAGTTTCCAGACCATAATGGGCTGTTCAGAACCATTAAAGAGTCTACATAACATACAATTGTGACTGCAGTCTCTCAGTTCATTTAATCATTCATTCAGCACACATTTAAGGAGTGTCTGTTATGTGGTAGGCATTGTTCTTGGTGCTTGCAGCTGTTTCTCTGTAACAATTGTAGGTAATTTGGGGAAAGGGTTACCTTCCAGGCCAGTTTGTTTTGGAAGTGAATGTTTTCTAGAACTTTAAATACCTGCTTTAAAACTATTCTGTTTATCCTCCATTAATATCTTCTGTGAGATCCTGATCTTGCCATCTAGTTTGATCAACTATTAGAACACTTCAGAAATTTAGCTCCTGTGGCTTGTTGAAGGATTACTAGACATTTATTTATTCGTTCGGCAAATACTGCTCTATTGTGTATCAATCACCATGGACATAGTGGACTCAACACTTGGCAAGCTTATGGTGTAGTGATGGGGGTGAGGAGACAGACATCAGCAAATCTAGGCAGTTGTTGAACCAGTTTGGATGGACTAGGGTGATGAAGCAGGTACTCTGAAATGTAAATCAGTGAAAGTACAAGCACTGTAGTTCAGAAAAGAATGAGATCATGTGGTTTTTGATCTTTAAGGTTATCCACTATTCCTCCTTGAGGCCTCACAGGGTTAGTACTTTGTCTTGTTTTGCAGTAAGAGCCCAATAAAATAATCTGTGATATATTTGTCCTGGGTCTTGAAGGATAGTTATAGTTTTGGCAGAAGAAGATTGGATTACTGACATTTTAATAGGAAAGAACTGCAGACAAAGATAGGAATCCACAGGACAGATACATAGAATTTCATTTGCTGTACTGGAAAGTAACTATGGGCCAGCAATAGTAAGGCAGGAAGCGTAGGTAGGTCAACTTAACAAATTTTATTATGAGTAACAACTATTTAACCTAATGTTAACTTTAAATTATGAAAGGCAAGTAAATTGGGGTTTTATTTGGAAATCTCTAATATAGCTAACAAGCTGTGTTGTAATTGTCTGTCTTCTGTGTGATCAGAAGATCGCTCACAGGGATTATAATCCATGCATTTAGCACAGCACCTGGTATGGTGAAGATACTCAATATTTGCTGGGGATGAAGTCAACAGTCAACTCAGTAATATGTTTGTCCATGTCTTCACCCCATCATCTCCCCAAATCTAGTACATTACAGCTTTATAATCAATACTGTATCTATTTCTTAAATCTTAAAGCTTCAAGGAAATGCAGAGTAGCTCCTGTTCACAAGAAGTTTGGGCATTCTAGGACTCCTTTTGGTTTCTATCTACAATCAAGGGTGGAGGATACAAAATACATTAACAAGTCTTAATATGTTTTTTCTTCCTATACAGATGAGCTGAGAGAACATTTTGCACAATTTGGTCATATAAGAAAGTGCTCTGTACCTTTTGTGAGTATTAACTTAAAAAAAAAAGTAATAATGTTACCCTCTTGATTTTCTTGTCAGAGCATATCAATTTGTATGAATTTCTCATGGAGTGACAGTGGTCAGTCTTTGTTGATTAAGTTATGAGTGATATGGCTTAAAAAGTTAAGGGGAAAAAAACCAAAAAAACCCCCAAATAAAAAAAAGCTTATCCTAGATATTTGAGGTATTTGTGTTGGTTTTTAAAAATTATCACAAATTTAATGTCTCAAAGCAACACACATATATTATCTCACAGTTTCTGCAGATCAGGAGTCCAGGCACAGCTTTGCTGGGTCCTCTGTTCAGGGTTTCATGTAGCTGCAGTCCAGGTGTCAGCTGGAGTTGCCATCTCACCAGAGGCTCAACTGGCAAAGACCCATTTCCATGCTCCCTTAGGTTCTTGGTAGAATTTGTCTTTCAGCTGTAGCACTGAGGTACCTGCTTTCTTGCTGGCTTTCAGCTGGAGGCTGCTCTCAGCTGCTAGGGACTGCCTGCAGTCCTTATTACTCTCCTTCTCCGTAGGCACTTTCTAAAACATGGCAGCTTCAAAGTCAGCAAGGGAGTTTCTTTCTTGTCTGCCAAGACAGTTTTATAATGTAATTATTGGAGTGATACCCCATCATCTTCACCACATAACCTGATCAAGGGAGCAATATCTCATTGCTTTTGCTATATCCCTTTGGTTAGAAGTGTCACAGGTCCCACCCACCCACATTCAAGGGAAGGGGATTATACAGGGGGTAACGTGGCGGGACACATGGAGATCTTGGGCCATCTTGGAATTTTGCCTATTACAGTATTATAACAAGGACTTGAGAGTGTAGCGGATAATTTTATCATGAAACTGATGGAGAATATCTATTTTAACCTTTATCCTCATTAAGTTGAGTGCTTTGTGTGTTGTGTTTTTATTTGTTACATATTCTTTGCTTCCTCATGAGGGTTTAGAAATCAGGTTCTACTTTATCCTGGGCTTTATTTTTCTGTGGACTTTCTAGAATTATTGTTTATTTGGGGGTATGATGTGAGTACACATAGAGTTTACATGTGCTTCATTAAAATTGCTCCATTTTCCCTCATGGCATCAAAAAGGCTGTGGTAAAATATCAATTTAAAGTAACTTAAGTTCTTAACTCTTGATTTAATGTTATTTGCCTTCCAAAGATCTAACAGATTATGCATCTTGTGTGCTGGTGAAGATGTAGGGAATCTAGTACTGAAATTGTTGGGAAGTTTAACTGGTACCTTCACTGAAGGGTAATTTGGCAAAATCTATCAAAATTAAGAACCTGCTTTTGCTTTGATTTAGCAGCTTCATTTCTAGGAATTCTACAGAAATGTGAAGTCAAGAATGTTCAAAACAGCATTGTTTAATAATATCCTAATTGGAAAGAACCTAAGTGTTCGTCAGTGGGATGGGTTAAATAGATATTAATTCATTGATATAGTGGGATTTTACAGTTGATTAAAGGAGGCATGTATAGTACAGACATGAAAATGTATAAGCTTAAAAACTAGTTTTACAAAGTGTGTGTGTAAAATTTGTGTTTTTTGAAGAGTATTTTTAAAAAGTTTCTCTAAAAAGTAACAGATTATTCTTGGTTGTCATTTCCCTCCTGAAAGTATAAACAGAGTAATTTAGGACCTGGAGTTAACAGATTTTAAACAAGAGAAGGCTTTGATTCTTGGGAAAATTATATATAACAAAAAAATTAGTTTCTAGTTAACAAGTTCATTGTACTCAAGTTAGAAATCCAGGTTCCAATTTTAGATACATATTATTTACATTTTAACAAAATTTTTAATGCCTTGACAAATGGAAATGGACACCTGTAGGTAGAGTGCTTTAAAAATTGTCTTATCTATCCGAGGTAAGGAGTGAATCACTGGGACATAACCAGAAATTTACTGTGTTCTAGGTTAATACTTACAAACTTACCTTCCAGGCATGGGGGCAATTTCT